CATACTGCAGTGGAATCATTTAATTTACTTACTCCTTAAGTATTTTATGGGTATGAGAAGAGGGTTCATCATTGGTGAATAATGGGCATGAAGCAGAGAACAAGATCAGCAAAGACTGTACCATCAAGGAATTATGTGTCTACTGTGGAAGGCTGTCACTATACCATAGATAATGCAAAGAAAACATACAGGATGATATGAGTGTTATAAGAGGAGGATATGCCATTATGTGGGGATTAGAGGAGGCCTGCATGAAGAAATGATATTTGAGACCTGACAGATAGAAATTTCCCAGGTCAAAGAAAGTGGGAGGCAGGATAGAAGGTTCCAGGTCTGTGCAAAGCCCCTGAGCTGAGATCTTGGCTTCTTTTTTTTTTTTTTTTGAGGATTTTGAAATGCAGAATGGGGATGGGGGGAGGGCGGAGAAAAGAGCAGGGGGAAGAGAGCGAGCTTCCATCTGTTGATTCATTTCCCAAATGCCCACAACTGCCAAGGCTAGATCAGGCTGAAGCCAGAAACAAGGAACTCCATCCAGGTCTCACATATGGTGTCAGGGGCCCCAGTACTTGGGCCATCATTCTCTGGCTTCTTGGTGCATTAGCAGGAAGCTGGATTGGAAGTAGCATAACAGGAACTCTCATATGGGATGCCAGAGTCACAAGCAGCAGCTTAACCGAAGTGTCACAATGCCAGCTCTGGAGCTTGACCTTTCTTAACAAATTTATTTATTTATTTGAAGGTAGAGTTACAAAGAGAGAGAGACAGAGGGGGAGGAGAAGGGGAGGGGGAGGGTGAGAGAGGGGGAGGGAAGGGAGAGAGGGGGAGGGTACAGGAGGGGGAGGGGATGGAGAGAAAGGGAGGGGAGGGAGAGAGGGGGAGTGGAAGGACGTGGATGCGAGGGATAAGACTGAGGGGAGGGCAGTTGAATCGGCTGGGTGGCGTCCGGGAACCCGGCTACGCCCGACTCACACATTACTGACCGCATTCCACACTCACTCTCTTAATTCTCTGGGGGATCATAGTTTAGTAAGCGGAACTCGCGCGGTCACGTGGGAACTCTATGCTGTGGGCTCTTTTATGAAATTGCCCGACCTCCTTCTCCACCCCAAGTTCCCTTTTTTTTTGCCTTTTCAGCCTTACATTTACCACTGCAACAAATTTT